TGCCTCCCATCACTTACCTTTCCACATTGCTCTTCTCTCTTTATTATAACCTCCAAGGAAACACCTTAGCTTTTTTGGAAGCCTGACAATTTCTCCTAATCCTGCTTTGCAGATAGGCAGTTGTCCTGTGAGGACTACCTGAGTGGTCTTTCCCTGGCAGCCTGATCTCCATTGTAGGCCACCTAGAGAGCATGGCTGGACACAAGACATTCCTATCAATCTCTGCCCTGCCCACTTTCAGCTGGAGTATTTCATGTTTGGGAAGATGTGGAGAAGAAACACTTATGTTCGCATACAAAGTGAACTCTGGTATGAGTTATCTGAGTTTTTAAGCAGTTTAACAAGAGGTGCGACATGAAACTTTCCAGATATAAATGGGAAGAAAACGCTAGTAAAATCAGACCAATAAACCTGAATAGAAGCCACATCCTCCTATTTGTAAACTGCCTGTTGAATATTTCTGGATTCAGTTTGGATCACAGTGGTGGCGTGGAAAACTAAACTCTTGAGATTGCAGCATGAAAGAGGAGGAGGAGAGGAACCAGGTTAAACCCTCACCTTCCTGCGGCCATGCAGACATACGAATGGCAGGCAACTGCATGGCAGTGCAGCCTGGCACGAAAGCCATCCCAAAACACTGGCATGCCTCGAGTACCTATTGCACTGCGAATATGCAAGGGTGTGGCATACATCAACTCGCTAAACGCATCATCAAGGACAACTGTTTTTTCCTATCCTTTTTGAAAAATTATATTTTACCTGGTTAGTAATCCTTCACTGTCCCATGCAAGCCCTGGCAGGTCAAAGTTGTCTCCATGCTTACCAATGGAGAGGCTGCAGTTTTTCACATATGAAGCCTACTAAAACCATTTCTAGAGTTCCGAGCCAGATGGGCCTAAACGGTTTCTTTGCTAACTTTCTCTCTAAAGCCAGAGACAGGCTTTTAAAAACAAGTTGAGTGGCTTTTTTCAGCCAGGGGTATCACCAGCTTCTGGTTAAAGGCAGCAATTCAACAACTCTGAGCAACTGTGGACAAATAAAAATTAAAAATAATGATAAAATAATTTAAATCTTGATTACCAAATCAAAAATATAAAGAAAGGCCAAGTTTTATCCACGGAACCTTTGTCCCTTCCTGCACACCAGAATGTCTACATACAGGCAGCGGTTTTTATTTTACTTATTTAGGCTTATAGAGAAGTAAAAACATTAAGTAAATTTAATCAAACACTCATACCAGGACTGTTAGTTATGTTTGGTCACTTCCACATATCCATACACACACATCCCTACCATCACATTTCCATGCCGTACATGAACCAAGGCAGGGATAAGATGCTCCAGCATGCTGTTGCATCATGCTCCGAACTCTGGTCAAGGGCATGCTGATGTGATTTCATGGCTGAGGACTTGTCTCTCCAAGCCACAGCAGCCAGCCTGTGGCAACTCGGGGAATAACTGTACCTCTCTATAGGACAACTTCAGCCTTAGGTACCAAAAGGGCTACAAGATCCTTCTCTTCATCCAGGTGCTTAACTGATCTGTAGATACTTAGCTGTAAATCAGAGGTAGATCACTAAAACCAACTCCCTATGCTCTTTCAGTAGGATTAAGTTCTTAAATGGTCCCTAGATAATCTAGTTGCAAAATACAGGCACACAGATTACTTAACCAACAAGAAGCATAGGGTAGCTCTGAGGTGTTTTAGTCACAGAACCAAGACTGCTCAGCACATTGCTGAACCTCACTTAACTGACAAATTTCTTGGGAAAGAGGGAGCTGATGCAGCCCTGATGAAGTAACAAGTGGTGTTCACTACTCCAAACTCTGAGCAAACACATAAGGTTTTTGCATAAAGTCATACTTCATAGCTGTAATCTTAGCAGCTCCTCTTAGCTTCACTGTCTTCATAAAGCTAAATCACAGGGATTTCATTCAGATAATTACCAGTGTCTTGCTACTGTGGAACATTTCTTATTCATTCTCATTTTGGAAAGAAAGGCTTAGTGGAAAAAAGAAGAGACAATTTTTTGAGTGATTTTTTTTTTTTCCCCTTCATTTTGCCTCCCTATTCCTCCATCCTTCTTGTATTCTGATGAAGTTATTTCCAGGCTAATTAGAAAGGGCACCAACCAAAAATCACCAGATCCAAAACATCACACTACCATGAAAGTTCAGTGCTGGAGGCAGCATTGCTCCTCAGACTTGTGCATAAGTGATCCTCTGCCAACTACCAAAACATAGATCTGTGGGGAAAATAACAGACTGGAGTAGAAACCTTGGAAAATAGGATCAAATAGGATTAATCAAATTTCTGTAACAGATTTTTTTTTTAATTTAAAAAATATTTTAGCGATTACTCTATTTCTGTAGATACAAGCGAAGAGGTGTTTCTTACAGAGAACAGAAAGACAAACTAGGCCTCACAGAGGCAGCAGTCCTTAAAGATAGCTGTCTTTGAACACAGTAGCAGCTAAGAAAAGTGATGCCAGTCAGAAGAAAAGTACAGATGTGGTTACATGAGAAGCAGAAAACGTGAGATCACAGCTGGTTACAGAAGGATCTGGAGAACCTAAGCCAAATACCAAAGCAAAAGAACTTCCTCCCTCACAAAGCAGGGGAGAGAGGGAGGAAAACACAATCTAGGTACATCTATACAAAACTGCAGAAAAAATTAATAATCCCTCCTTGGTGACAATATGTCTTTGCAGTCCCAATGACATTATAGCAAACTAGTTACAGTTGATGTAGAGACTCTCATAGATTTCAGATATCTTTAAAATAGGCTTTTTTGATAGTATATCATGAAAATATCACTTTCCCAATTCATTTCACTTCTGTTCAGCTCTAAAGTTACAACCTGTGACCTGTACTTTGTAATTCTTCTTCAAGAAAAAATACCCAGTGTCAAAGGAAAATTTGTTCAGTTAAGGAAAACTTAAGGGTTTTCCCTAGAAACATCAATCTACTGAAATAGCATTCCTAAAGGAAACTGTCTCGTGCCTAAAAGTTGCTGCACTGCTGTTTTGTTTTTCTAATGAAGCCCTATCTCAGAAGAGATAAGATTTATTGGTCAGTTTATCACCTAATGAGGAAATGGAAGATGAGAAATGAGACTCAGGACAGCTGCTAAGCATACTAGCTCATTTAAACCCACCATTGTAATTAGTACAAAATAGAACAAAGAAATTGGAACATCGAGAATACTTTCATCATGTATTCTTGGCGTTTTTATCTTTGAAACCTTTCTCAAAACACTTAAGTGCAGATTTAATATAGGAGACTATATATTATAAACACAGGCTAATCCCTTTTAAATGATAATGCAAGTTGGACTTCTCTGTGATCAATGGCTAACAAAATAATCTTTGTTTTATCAGCAAAGATATAAAGAATAAGAGCCCTGAAGATGTTAAAGCAGACATCCTACACAGTGCTATGATGGGATTCATTGAGAATTCCTCTTCATGGAGATTGAAGAAAAAAGGTGAAGGAAAAAGTCTCCGAGTATCCTACTCACTGTCCCATTGAAAAGGAGGTACTTGGATGTTCTGGACAAGGAACAGTAAAAGAACAAGAGAGTAGGGATTTAAAACAAGGTTTTTCAAAAAGCCAGAAGTCAAGTCATATAATCAAGCAGGGTAAAAGAAGAATGCTCTTTCTTTACATCCCCGAAGTGTAACACCCTGGACCACAGCTGCAGTTGGTGGCTGGACTTGTTTCATTCACTGTTATAAACATCCTCCCTGTATTCTCTGGTGCAATAAATCACTTTAAGTGGGAGGAACTACAAAATTAATCTCCTGCCTCTCTTGCAGTTACAGCACTACTTTCCCTATGACCACATCAGAAGTCTCCTAACAGTCACCACGTAATTATGGGAAGCTCATCCCCCATTTCAGCAAGCTATGTTCCCACCCTATCCTCTCTTCTGTGCAAATGTGGGTGATAATGTAATAGTTCCTCTGTAGCCATCATCTTCTTCTAGATGTAACAAAACCAGCTTTTGGTCACGAGTCCCTGCCACCCCATATGGTACCCACTTGCACCATGAAATGGCAGACACATGAAGCACACACGCTCATGCAGTGCACACCAGCAAACTTTGCTGATCCCCCTGCAGCACAGCATGATGTATCATCCATCTGAGACAGTATCTCTACAAAGGGCCACGAGACATGAGAACAGCAAAACACACAACTTCAGGTGCTGAAGTTCTCAACCACTTTTGAGAGAAAAAGGGTGGTTTAGAAGAAGGAAAAGGAGAAGAAGAGAAGATGAAGGAGAAGATCCAGATGGGTGGGTTCCCACCCAGAACAATGTCCCTTCTTCCTTGTGCTCTCTGAAATCCATCTTTGAGTGATCTGAAACAAGTACTTCAAAACACCCAGGAACTTGGCATGATTTCAAATCCAGGTTACAAATATTAAATATCCTCCTGGTTTCCAAAATATAGTTTGTACTGAGACTTTGGCAACTACTTAACTTTGTCCATTGACATGGTTTTATTTTCAGACCTGGCACCTTGAACTATCGGAGCGGATCAAGAATAGCAATTGGCATTTTGCCATTAAGGTGAAACAACGTTCTAAAGCCTGTGCTTTGTTACCAAGGGCTTTTAAAATCTGCCCCATCTTGGCCCTCAGGTTCGGCACATCATTAAATTTAGTCTTAGCTGGAGCAACAGAAGCTCTAAGGACAGCTCTGAGGATATCTTTTCTTTAGGACTGTTACTAGGTGTTTAACGAGGCAAATATGTGATCCTGTAATGTGTAATAGAGACATTTTTATGGATTGCAATGAAGCTGAAAGCCATAATGTAGATGGTATCACATTAGAAATCTCACCTGTGTTGCATACACACAATCTCGCCTCTCTGAGGCAAAGCTGTCACATAAGCACTCAACAGATAAACAGGAAAGTTTACTCTATATCCCTCAAAGGTCCCCATTTAAAAAAAAAGTACATTTAAAATATGCTCTGTACAGCTGTTGTCTTACCATTTGACTTGTGTTACACATCTGGCGGAAACTGGTCGGGAACATACCGCTGATAGTCTGCCTGCACAGAACAATAAAACATTATTACAGAAATATGGACTTCACAGACACTTCAAACAAAAGAATAGTGACATGATAAAAAATATAATTGTGCTGTGAAGTTTTTTATCGGTTATACAGAAGTAGCTAACAAAAAAAATCTTATCTTTAGCTTTATATTTCCACTGATCAAGTCTTTCAGCTTGCTTCCTTTTTTATGACATGTGGTTTAGATGCTGCACTCATTAGAAATATCGGTGTAAACCTTTCTAGATCCCACAAATCAAAAGAAACATTAACAGAAACAAATCAGATTTTAAAAGGGCCAAGCAATAAAGTGCACCAGAAGATACTAGCAGGCATCACGTTCTCTATACTTAAGAACCCTGGAGAAACCTGGTACACATCGACCTGATAGGTGAAGCTGTTCCCATTTGAATACATGTAACATCTGCAACATGTTTCAGTGTGACAGAAATAATCCATTTAATAAAGTTCTCTCCCCTCCTCCCTTCCCCACAGGTTAGCATTAGTGTTACTATCTTGAAAATACTGTGGGATGGGAAAAATTCCCATCTTTCTTACAAGAGGAAGTATTAGGAAGGTTATGCCTATGTAAACGTAGTTTTCTCCAGGGAAATCCTGGAAGAAAGAAATACTGCATTATAGTTTATACCACACACCATGAACAAGTAGCAAATTACCACGAGAGAAAACCACTTTGGGACCAGACATGTCAGTTGAAGCTGTATTAAATTGTCTATCTGGTTTAAGTAGTACATGCAAGCTTGTCAAATTCCAGGTAATTACTGCTTCAAATTAGTTAAACTGGGAAAATGATGCTTGTTTAGCAGAAATTACTCTGACAAAATTCTGAGTGGTCCCAAGGAGACTCTTATCCATTTCAACTTGTAAGGAAGAAATTTCATAGACTTCTAAAGAAGTTTTGCCATCTAAATTAAGATGGCAGGATGAAACTGTAGATACAGAAAACAGATTTAACTTTTACATATGCTGTCATTCATAGTTACGTAGCAGTAATCACTGTCATACACTGTCAGGAAAAGAGGAGCTATCTTATTTTCCTTTAAATTATCCCATCCACATGAATCATTAACTAATTCTGTGCTTGTGGGCAAACAAAACAGGCTTTGATACAAAGCAAGATGCTGTTTTGCTTTAAGGACAGGTAGTTTTTCCACTGATGGCTCAAAATGCACTTATTTGCGCTGCTTTTTTGAGTTTCTGTTGAATTCTCTGTTTTCTGATTTACTCTTCTCTGTCATACGTACTTACACTGCAAACTTGAATGAATTTCTGAAACAAGAGGTGCATTTCATGTCAGACTAAAAATGTTTCTACTAACAATGTAAAAGTAACAAAAAGGTGCAAGATATAAAAAGAACAAAAAAGCAAAAGTACAGACTAAACATGCAGGATTACGCACGTTAACTCAGGACACTCATTAAATTCTAACACCTTTCTTCATTGCTAAACAAATTGCTCAGGGAGGTATCAAAAGCTCAGAGCAGAAATGCTGCACTCACACAGAAAGAATTTCAAAGAAAACTCGGAATGAAACTGGGAGTTACAAAGCAACCAGTCAAACTGACCCCGGCACTCCGGCAGGAATGGCAAAGTTGTAAACCCAGTGATTCCTCGCAGAATTAGAAACCCAGATGATGAAAGTTCAGGGAGAAGAGCCAAAATAATGTGGGAGACTGTCCAAATTGCAGTGAAAAACATTCTGCAATACTTCCAACTCTGATAAATAGGCAGATAAGCACACTCCTGAAGCATAGAAATGGCTTGTTTGACCACAGCTTGTCTGTTGGATTTCTACAGTCTGAAAGTCTTACATGCGTTCTGCAAAAATTTGGCTATAACTTCTCAAATAATGAGCATCTGTCTATACGTGACAGCTTTACAGCCAGAAACAGATATTGTGTATTTAAAATGACATTCACCAAGTTTAAATACATTCTCACAAGATTTGAATAAGTACAGCCCACTTAGATAACCCAAAGCACTTACAAAACATCATTCTTTGAAGCAGTGTTTTCCTTGCAATAGGTAACTGCCCCTCAAATAACCTGCCCTAGAGCAAAGCTATACTTCTTCATGCTGAGGAAGACAGGATCCTGTTGCATGCCATGAAAAAAAGGCATATTTCCCATTGTGTTAGCCACACTCAGATATAATTTCCACTTCTGCTGATTTTTTTTTTTTTCTGAAAATTGCATTCCTAAAGCATTCACAGCCAGAATGCCTCACCCTCAGTAGAACCTTACTCCTCACATAATTCCATTTTACAGCAGTGTACCAGAGGGAAGATTCTACTGAGTACAAGCAACAGTGTCTGGGATTTGGCCCTCACAGTTTAATAGCAGCATTGTGGATCCTGCCGATAGCCTGCCTGCCCCGGGAGGCGCACAGAGAACCTGGGATTGTGCAGTCTGGCTACAGCAGTATTGCCTGACAGCAGAACGGGTATTTTACCTATGAACACAAAAAGCTGTAAGTGAAGGAGGAAAGTCATTTTCCAAAGATAGAGCCAGAGAAAGAAACACCCAGTGTAAGACACAGAAATAAGACATATTAGTCAAGCTTTCTTAGATTGAATAGAGGGAAGAAACTAGAAAAAATGCTGACCACAGCTACGTTCTCATTTTCGTTACTATCATGTTTGTTGAAGACTCAGATCTGGGCTCCAGAGAACAGGTCCATATTTATGAACTTGGGTAACTGCATAGCTAGAGAAGGCTCTGAATGTGTGTCATAGAAGTGAATCAACCTAAGAGATCAGCAAGAGTCCAATGAACCAACCTTATTTCTTTAATTAAGGAATGACCATCAGTATCACTGAAAACAAATGTATAATAATCCTCTTTTTCTTCTTAGTGCTATTGTAGCTAAATAGTATTTGCCAAAGTAAACTTAAAATATATAAAAATATATACCTAAAGTATATCTCATAAACCACGTATTTAAATTGCTGCAATTTTTCTTCTTTGTGCACAGATTTCTGCTGTTTATGCTTTTATTTGCTCATGGCAGCACTCTGTGCAATTCAGTACCAAAGACACTGGAACAGCAAGGAAGAAAAGAACAGGACTATCAAGATAAAAATCAGCATTTTGGGGCAGATAGTAAGGGAAGAGAGACTGTACAGAGATCAGGAAGGCTGTTCCAGATCTAGAGCTAGTTCTAAAACCAGTACAAAATCTTGATCTGGAAGCGACAACAAACTGGGAAACAACAGATTTAGTTACTGGTGAGGATAGCACTGTCCTAGCACATTATTCTCCTGGCATCACCATGCTGTGAGAAAACCAGTGCCCTTGTGAAACAGGAGACAGTGGGAACCTTACTGAGTGCTGTTGCTGCTCATGTGCCCTGCGAGATGCTGGATGTACTCGAGGATCTTGATAGTGAAGAACCAATCCACAATTTCCATAATTAACACATGGTGAGAGGAAGAGGGGAGGTGGGTAGCTGGGCCTCTCAAACTGTACAGGAAGATCTTTTGTCTGTCAAAAAATAAGAAAAGCAAGAAGAAATGCATTAGTAGCAGGATACGGTAACCAACAGAATATTCATGTACAAACTCATCAGTAAAAAGCAAAGGGGAAGAAACCCTCCTCTCTCAGCATAGGTTGCAATGCTGCTCGTTTAGACCTTTCAGACTCTTCATGATTAAAAATACTATTTAAGAAAGCTGACTTGTGTCACAGTAGAGTCTTGACACTTTTTATGTCAGAAAATATTGGTTTCAAGATATGGCAAGTACATTTCTGGATGTTTTCTATATTCAAGAAACGTTTTCATTGCACACAGTAGCTTTCAATAGTTTGAGGCAGAACTACATGGACAAGAAAACTAAGTAATTTTAGTAAAGGACCAAAGTCAATGGCCTTAAGATCCCAGTCTGCCTTTTCTTAGGCCCTCTGTGTCCCGGCAGAGTGGACAGGAATTTGCCTAAGGACAGAGGAAGGAGGAGTAAAAGATGAGTCACAACTAAATAATTTGACTGAAGAAAACAAACTAATAAATATTCTATATGGTTCCTCTCATGTTTAAAATCCTTCATAAGCTCTGTTTAATCAAATCCCAAGGCAGAAAGAGACAAACAAGATGATCTCTAGTGTAAACCATCAATGCAATGCAGGGACAGTCAAGTTGTACGTACACATTACACAGCACTTCTACAGCCCTTTGGGTGTGTTGGACACCTGCAGTGCTGTTGGCATTTCTCCTGGTCCAGAGCAGCTAGGGGGTGAGCAGGAAAGGCCTTTTAGTCCCATCTGTAGTCCCCCTCTCACTGTCACTGCTGTGAGAGGTTCTCACAATGTCCATTGACTGGCTGGGGTTGTGCATGAAATCTAGTCTTTTACAGTCTCTAGACAATGCAAAAATATATAGGAAGAAAGTGTATTTGAGTATTCTCTTCTACAAAAAAAAAATTATTTACCTTATTGAACCACCTAGGAGTAGGCTGGTGGGTGAGGGAAATACACCTGAAAATAACTGCATGCAATGCTAACAGATTTGTCCAAGGTCTTTATGCCTGGGATGCCCTGAGCGGCAAATCATGGCATTCCCTCTGGCACTGCTATTTTTACACTTGCATGAAATGCTTCCAAGTACCCATAAAAGTACTGACAAGTCTGGGGCCTCACTGCAGCAGTACCCAGCATCGGCCAGGATGCCCAGTCGGCTCTCCACTCCTGCTGAAGCCAAGGGGAGCGCGGGGTGCTCGACAGCACCTTGCCTCTGATACTCTTACCAGGCCCTACTAGTATTGATGCATGGGTTGGTTGAGAACAAGTCAATATTAAGTTTCTGTTTCACAACAATGTTGGTGAAGGCAATAAATCATCACAGAACATTTTGGTAACTGGCCATTCTTTTAAAACATTGCACAATTTCGTCAGGAAATCCCAAAATTTCATCATTTTTAAAGGGGATTGAGAAAGCTCAGAGTTTTACATGCCATGATTTTACTATGGCTTCCTGAACATCTATGAACAGAACACTGACAATACTGTGAAGAGATAAAAGGATGTTGCAACAAAAAATTACTGCAGTGACTGCTCAGCTAATCTGGATGGAGACGTTTTTTATTCCCTCAGTGATATTAACATGACTTTTTAATTCCACTGCAGAAGTCAGAAGCTTTACAGAAGCTTTTTATTTCAAAAGTTGGTCTGATGTTACAACTCTTATATCAAATGCCAGTGAAATAATAATGATTTGTTTTTGGTTTCCCCCCTCTCCACTTTAAGATATGTTTGAAGAGTTTTTGCAATAAATACTCCCTTCATCTACTCAATTTGGAAGTCATCTCTAATCATTTCTCATCTTCTTACTGCATTACTTCAGAATGATTTCATCCCAGGTGGTGACCTCATACAAAATCCAATGTCAATTAATGGAAGCCAGAAAGCCTTAGGTTGTGTGGAAAGTGAGAAAATAAAAATAAAATACACATATGCTGGCAATGGTAACTTTATTTTGACTCATACCTGAGAGTTTAGTTTATTCAGTTGAGACTGTAATCTCTCGTTAATTTTCTGCAATGCTTCTTTCTCCTCATTAAGTCTTTCTCTGTCAGATCTCTCCTTTCTGAAGTCTTCTTCATATATTTGTACCTGCAATCATTACAACCAAGTATGTGAATTTCAGCAGAGCCACAATGGAAATTTTCACCCACTTTGTTGTTTGGTTGCTTTTTAAACACTGGCCAAGCAGCTGGGTGCATTCCAAAGGGAACTCTTCTTTCTACAATTGTGCAACCAAAAGTTTCCCTCGTCTTTTTTATGACCAATATGGAATGACAAACAATGGCTATTCTCCAAAGGTACTTGTCAATTGAAACAGTCTACAGCTTCAGTATTCGTACACCCTTGCAATTTGAAAGACTGACTGGTGGATATCATTTTTAAATATTATAAATAAGATAGCCAATACTACAGACACTGATATTTTTAAGGGATAAACAGTAGCAGGACAAATGTTTTTTCCAGTTTACTCTTCATTTATGAGTACTTTTAACTCCCCCCTGTATCTCACATGCAAGCAGTTAGCATCCTGGTGGAAATGGGAGGTGCTGGCATAGCACAAAAAACTGACTTCTAGCATGCAGTCTGATAGAACGTTATCACCTTATCCAACCTAACGATGAGCCACGATCATCAAATAATGTCCTGCCTTTTTATAGCCCACTGAAGACCACTGCCCTTGAGCCTGCTTTGCTTTGTGCCTTTTGGTAGTTGTCTGCAGCTTCACCTTACCCACTGCGCTAGCTGTCTAACCAAGGTATGGCCCAAAGGGCTAATCTGTGCAGAATAAGCGATAGTATTTAGAGCCGTGGTCACATTTTAATGGCCAGAAGACTTGGACTAATCAGGATTGTCAAGGAATTTAGATCTCGGCTGGAGCACTGTGGGAAAAAAAAACCACCAACCTGTAGGAGGCTATTGTACCCCTGATGTTAGAAACTATGTGGAAAAAAATAATTGGCCCGTGTATCTTTTGTCTAATTCATCCTCTCAAGCTGGAGCTCAAAGAACCTGCCCACCCTAGTGCAGAAGCAGAGGTGAATGTTACACACACAATTCAAAACAGAAATACAGAGATTTGACCCTGTTCCTAGAAGATGCCTTTAAAATACTGAAAGATGCAATGGCTTAGCTCTCTATGTCACCAGGAATCGCAGCGCTTCGTCCTGTTAAAAAATATCTGACCACCCCAGGCACAGGCAGTGAGCGCACAGTTTCAGAAGCAAAACAAAAGTCCGTAAATTAATTGGTGTTAAGCTGACTGGCTTAATTCTTCAGCTAACAGGCAGGCATCCACCTGGTAAGAAGCTGGAGGTTGGTGGCATTTCTACTGACAAATAACAGCAAAAGCACGTTAGGGTAGGAAGGAACCACCACCAGAACTTTCAGAAGTCCTTTCATGTCCTCCTGGTTGGTCACTAAAGCCCACTGACAGTCTATTTCCAAAGAACTTGCATGCTGTGGCTCATGCCTTGCCCGTCATACAGATCCAGTTTCCTTTTTGCTGGCAGCAGCACTACGACTTCACAGGAGGACTAAAGAAATGTTAATACCTCAGGGGAAGACAAAATTCAACACAAGGCTCTATAAATTATTTTCACGACTTGCTTGTTGCAGCTAATTTTTGCAAGTTTTTGTTTGGACCCCATGGTCCCCTACTAGATAACACACCCTTCCTGATTAACAGCGTGTGAAAGGAACAAAGGCTTTCTGTGTGGCCGTGTGGAGACTCGGCTCCACAGCCTGTGCCTGGACGAGGCATGCGTGTCCCTGACCCTCCAAAACAGAGGCAAAGCTGTCGCTTGCATAAATCTAGGTCTCTTGTATCCCTCTCCATCTACACACTTCTCAGTATTTCTTCGTTTCTTCTCTCCCTCTCTACTGCTCCCCAGCTGTACGAGCTGCTGAAGCTTCAAAGGATCCACTTTGCCATACGTTCTGTTGCCCTGAGAAAGAGTGGGACACCTCTCAAGGAATGAATGCCTTCATCTCTTCTGTCGTGGCCAGGGATGGGCTGATGACAGCCAAGCTCTAGTGAGACTCTGTCACGTTGCAGTTTGTCCCGAGAGTCCCTCCTCTGTACAGTTGGAGCCTTCTGCTCCATTTTGTGCAGAGGGAAGTCTGGACTCACTATACTGATTTATACAACTAGAAAGACATTCATAAAATGGATACCCCATGAGAATACAAAAAAAAAATTGGTTTACTCTATTTTATTGTGTAGAATGAAATAACTCATTACTGTACAATCAAGTGCAGGGTTTTATTCTCCAGCATGTGGCAAGCATTACATTAGAGAGTAAAATCTGGCTCTGCGTCAAACGTGACAGAAACAAGTATTTTATTCCCATTGAATAAAATTCCCATTCTGATCACATCCATTTGTGTGTCAATAATGTTAACCCTAACACTGTCCAGAATGACAGACCTAACATGTCAAATTATCTGAAAAGTATCATGTTTTTAAACAGATTGTTTCATATGGAAAGAAAAAGAGTGCACAAAGCACTTGAACTGCTCAGAATAAAGATTAAAAAAAAAAATACACTTCTCTATAGTGATTGGTATGCAGGCTACAGATGCAAATGTTTTGCCTCACACTTTGAAAAACTGCAATGCCAACGCTCTAGTTTTCCAAGACTGCGATTCTTAGATAATCCACTGAACTTTCAACTTCTAAGAAAAAAGGAGCAGAAGACACAATCAGTAATTCATGAAGTTTAGCATTCCCTCTGGATGAAATTCAGCCCCCAGCAGAGAGCTGGCAGGACACCTCCAAAAGTCAGGAGAGCCATTCTGCTGCTTTGAATCCTACACAAGTCCTTGCTCCAGTCCTTTGCAAGGACTCAGTTTCACTTTGTGGACACGGCTGTGATGACAGCATCTTAGGAAACACCATTTGAATGGGCTCCGACTAAACTGGTTCTTCCTTTCTAAACTTCTACACACCAAGTCTACCATGCCAAATTCTTGGGAGAGAAAGCAAAATTATGCTATATGAAATCCATCCAGGCTTAATTCCAGCTGTTCTTACCTGCTGCCTGAGAACTTCAAGTTGGGTTTTCATGTCCTCAAGGTTGTTCCTGTCACCCTTCTCTGAAGGAGTCACATGAACAGGTGACTGCTGCTTTTTCAACACATCCAGAAGGGCCTGCAATGTCAGACAGCAAAATTACTAAACAGAGGTTCACTAAATAAAAAAAAAAAAAACACACTTCTTTTAAATTACTAGAATGTTTGTTCTCTAAATAAACAGATTTGAGTGAGTCACAGACTTGCAGGGGTTTTCCCTTCACTTGCAGTTTCTTCAATGATATAGACTGGATATAAACCCATTGAACAACACATATGCATGACTAAGTCCAATTTTTCAAAGTGCCCACACTACATCTATGAATTTGAGACAGTGTCGTTTAGGGAACTGCATTTTTACAACTATAACCAACAACTACCTATGGAAATCACAGCTGCAAATCTCATTCATAAACACTTCCCTGGGCAAGTCAGAACTTGGGAAGACAAAGACAGGTGTCTAAACTCATCTGAGGCCAAAAACAAGCAAACAAAAAAAACCCCAAGAACATGACAGTAACATTCAAAGATGGCCTAAAAATGGGACTACAATGAAGTCCAACTGAAACATTTTTTGCACTAAGAGCACAAATTTCTTCAACTGGAACCAAAGTTAACCCTCTAGTTGAGAGGACGTTATGTAGTCTCTATGGCTTGTCACTAGAGGGAGTTACGAATACACACACTACACTCGTAATGCTCTTACTCTATTTTTCAGTCAAACTCTGCCATAGTTCTTTGCAGCTTCTGTTTATTTTTAACAGTATTACACAGTTCTCCCTTGGACTTGAATGATTTTTAAATCACTCTTACTCCTCTCTGTTTATAACTGCATACTAAATGTATATTTTCTAATTAATTTTTTTTACTCTATCACAAATACTCACCTTTCAGTACTTTTCAATGTCTCTCACCTAAGATATAGACTCAGCTAACTTCATCCATTTTAGAAAGTTCAATTCCTGCTAATGATTCCCAGCTCTCCCTTGTTAGCCACACTCCATTCATGCCATAAGGGAAGGAGGGAAGAAAATTTGGAGTGCGGAGAGGCAGAGGAGGAAGCAGCCAAGTAGGATAATCAGCATCTAAAGTAACCCAAGGATTAGTAGTAATTATCAAAAGGCCAATCAAAATAAACAAATAAAGAAATAAGCACTTTCCACGGAGAGCACATAAAATGAAGACTTTTTATCTGATGGCTACTGTCCCTAAGAATTGTGCAGAAGGGATATTGGTATAGTAGTGGCAAAGTCCGTGTGCCATGTCAATACATAAATAAGGTTGACCATGAACATGGGAGGACGAAGATACAGACACCTTACTGATTAATCCTCCTTTTGCCCCTTCGAGCCACTGCTAATCCCTTTTAGGCTATGACATTGCAGTGCTCTGCACAAACAGTAAAGCGAGTAATAAAAACAAGTTTCACATTGGCACTTGGATTGGGCATGGATCACCAGCAGTTGCCAGAGTCAGTGAAATTTGACAATATCGTGGTACCTATGATACATTCTCCCTGGCTGACTGCAACACAGATTCTTTTCCAGGAGTGTGGTTTGTTAAGCATATTGCTGAGGACAAAGACGTGTGAAACACTCTTTTCTTCCCCCTCAATCTTCCTGACAATCACAGAATCACGAGACTCATTTGAGTGGCAGGGGACCTCTGGAGGTTCAAGCCCTTGCTCAGAGCTGGGCCAGGGAGGTCAGGTTGCTCAAGGCCTGTCAACTGAGAATTAAGCACCTCCAAGGAGGGTGATTTCACAGCCTCTCCATGCAACCTCTTCTAATATTTGACTACCCTCAAAAGAAAGTGCTTCAGATGCCTTAATTCAAAGATAACCGAGTGTCCTGCTTCCTTCACAACATACCACTTTCCCAGTCATCTGCTGCACCCACTTTTTATATGGCTGTCTTCTGTTAAAACTCCTTCACTAGGATGTATCTTACTGATCGTGGCAATCCAGATGTTACCAAACGATAATGCACCTTTTTATTTGAGTGTATTCATAAGCTGTTGACATTTCTCCTAATTCTTGACCAAATGTCACTACTTTGACTATTTTTCTTGCAGCTCACTTCCTAGCATCGTATCATGATATAGAAGTATTAGGTATTTGGGCAATTCTTCAGGGTTTTTTGCTTATTTGTAGGGGTTTTTTTGAGGAGGTTCTACATCTCAGAATTACGGATAAAATAGAAAAATACAGGAAATTTGATCTTCAAAAGGTTAACAGTAGGAAAAACTTAGGAAAAACTAAGGGTTTTTTTAAACTGCATTTGGAAGCAATGCTGTGAGACTTCGTTTTATCATTTCAAATAAAATAAGAAACTGCAGAACAATTAAAGCTGAGTTAGTCTAGGGTCATATTAAACCCAGATCAAAACCTTTGAAGAAAGATTATAAGAGACATACTGACAAGTGCTAGGTACAGAGATAAAAAAGTAAAATTTTGTAATGTTGCTCAATAACAAATTATTGAGACTTATGTCATTATAGAATATTTGGGTTCCCAAGTATAAAATGGAGACCAAACACTACTAAAGGTAATACAGAAAGATATAACTGGAGCGTTTTTCTTTCAAAATTCCCACCATTCTGAACTGACAAAAGCTGGGGCTGTTTTAGAGTCATTTATGGAAGAAATAAAGATATCACCGTTCCACTGGTTTTAAAAAACAACTAAGAAGAAAATGATCATGAGACACTTGAAATTAAAAGTAAACAAGCTATTTTAAATATGCAACTAGGATTTGTAATTTCAAATCAGTAAATTTGAGAAATGACCAAAAAACTTCTAGGCACATTCTGTAATTGGTCCTGTATGGAATTTTTTCAGATCATTAGGCTGTTTTTACTTTATTAAAACTCAAAGTACAAACAACCCCAACCAAACAAACCACTCCCCTACTCCCCAGAAAACCACATCTCAAGGAAGCTGAAAAAATTGTATGGGACAATGCTTGAGGGGCAGCTAGATTAACAACTTCAATAAGAAAAATTAACATGCCTTTAGGGACTGAAGAAAGGATTTCATCCCAAGAAAAACTACCACTTTTGCTAGCTTTTAGATGAAACTGCAGGGTAAGAGAGACAGTCACACTGAGCTGTATGTTGCAAAAGAAATTAAACTATAAAATATATACATATAAATATAAAATATATTTTTTTCCACTATAAAAATGAGTACAAGAACAAAGGCATTACACAGGAAAGCAAGAATAAAGACAGTATTTTCAATGAGGAGGATAACGTAGAGCACTGTGGCAGTGGCAGGATGTCTAACAGCAAGGACAATGTACCAATGAGAAAGAACTCACAGCTCACTGAGTTAAACTGAGCCTAACTTCATGTGGTTTTAAATAACATTCATTCAGAAGTACTGAGAACTGAAACCTGAAATGGCAAGACAAGCAGCACAGAGGTTTTCTGAAGATTTCAACATCAAAAATGGAACTGTATGACTGAAAAATAACTACCTTGGTTTCCAAAGCTACAAAAAGGATAAGTGGTCCATGCACCTCAAAGCCTCTTAATCTAACCTCAAGAGCATGTTAGGCTTGGGAAGAAATTTTGAAGAGAATTGCTTTACAGACATGAGAAATGGGATTTTAAGTAAAACACACTTTAACCTAATGTCTTTCATAAAAAAATAGATTTTCTTAACAGGGAAAATATATCAGAGCTCATAAGCCTATGTTTAAGTTAAAATTGAGATGGCGCTGCAGCAAAGTTATGAAATAAGTCAGAAATTTGACTTGTACTTGAACTATACGATGAACAAGGAAGCAGCCACAGGAAAGCAAATCATCTTGGGATATAGCATTACAAACTATTATGGCATTGCAACATCACTTTCATGCTGCAGATATCAAAGCAGGATCAGACCAGACTCTATACTTTGGGTACTCTGGATGATTGGATCAAAGTTGGATGAAGCCAAAAGCAAAAAGGTCAATGTACTTAAAGTAAAAAGATTAAGTACTTAGAGACACGTAGTAGTGTCTTCCATAAACTGAGAACTAAGCAGTTGAAAATGATTGAGGTGAAAAAACATGTATATTAGCAGGCGTAGGTGCATTTTAAAAGACTGAGAGGGCTGAGTCAGCTTAGCTAAACTGTACTCTAGTGA